CTGTCCAGGTGTCCCTGTGATGGACTGGAGACCTGTCCAGGTGTCCCCCGCCTCTCACAGCTGGAGGTCGGCACAGTCTGTCTCAGTCCGTCCTTTGAGTCCAGGGAAGTTTAAATCCGTTGCATTTAAATAAAGATAATTCGTTAAAGTTGTGATTCACAACATCTGCTGCTTTTTCTGTTTTACAAAATAAACCTCGTATTTTATTTAAAAAACGAGTAAAGTCTGAATGAAAACAAACGTTTATTTTTTTAAACCAGGAAACTTTCTTTGAGGACCTTTCAGCGTCGTACGTTTACGGGATTAAAATAAACGGATGTTTTTTTTTTTAATCTGTGTTTGGAAAGTTCTGGATTTTTCATCTAAGGAATGAGGAGAAACTTTGGGATTAGTTACAAGATTATTTAATCTAACCTTCTGATTATTCTCCAAACTGAGGTCATTCAAATAGCCATGCACAACGGGTAAGATATTTTTTACTTTTCCTCATCCCGATTCAACATGGCCGAACTATCCCCTCTCTGTTTCCCCTGCCGGGGATGAGACGCTGACGTTTCCTCTGAAGTGATTCTGAAGCCTCGAAGTTCAACGTTTGAAGGAAACGTCTGAACTTTCTGGACCGACGGCCTGAATCTTTCTGGATGTTGAGTAAAATCTGAGCAGAATAATTGAATCCTTCCCGTTGAGCAGAATGAAAACGTGACATTTTCGTCGCCTGGAACAGTTTTCGTGTCGCGGCTCCTCTTCAGGCCCGACGGCGCCCGAGTCTGAAACCAGAACACGTTTCCTGCGACGGTCTTAACATTTTGTGAAGTCGAGGAGAATCCACTCGCCTGCGTTTCTTCACATAAACGAACCCTGTGACATTTTCCCTCCTCCGGTGCGTCAGCCCCGAGCAGTAAAAATATCACCTCGTTTGTATCCGGGTCGGTCCGTCTCGCCGGTACATGAAGCGGCGCCGTGCGAGGTCAAACGTGCAGCAGAGCAGGAGCTGAGGAGCTTGAACACCCGAACGACTCCAGACTCAGTCATACACGTGCGTAAACAAGAGCAAACTCCTGAAGTTCTGCACGTGACAGAACCACAGCAGGTTGGCCTCTGGGTCCAGGTTTGGGTCCAGGTTTGGGGTTCAGTTTTCCAGTAGACGTTATTTGTTCCTGAGGGTCTAATGAAGCTACAGGGCAGGTTTACACACAGACACTGAGACTTCTGCTGCAAGTCCTATTTATCTTTAACGTTCTTCTGGACTAATCAAGTCTTGGACCATGAAAGTATCACCTGGACAGCCTGAGCTGGATCAGTCCAGGTCCAGGTCTTTCCTCCAACTTGTAGATCCACATGGATGTTTCTATTAGAATGACCTGTTTGTCGTCAGAACATCCAGGGTTCTGTAAGAATCAGACTCACCTGCACGCAGACAGAACCTGCAGCTGTAAACCGCCTGTGATGTCATCACTCCATATATGGTCATGTCCTTGTGATTTATTTATACTGCCATCAAGCTTTGTCTTTTTAAAACAACGTTTCACAGACCTAAAGCATCTTCATCTCGGTGCTCAGATCATATAGGAGACTAATTCATTAATAATAATAATAAATGAAAAAAGTTTTAGCTTCAACTGAAGCCGCGTCAGAATCTGCTCCAACTTCTTCAAATCCACCGAAACTGGAATCTCGTTTAATTTGAACTAAATTGTAACTTTTTTAATTTAGCGTTCCGACGAAGGTTTTTCTCTTCGGGATCATAAAGTTTTCGTCTTCAGTTTTCTCTTTTTGTATCTTCAGTTATATTTATTTATTTAATTTTTTTGTTCTTTCCTTTTTCTAAAAGAATCCCCGCCGGTTGTTTCTGTGCCGGCCCGTCCAAACAGCTGCTTGTCCGCAGGTGAGGCGGCAGGTTCTGCCCAGGTGATGAGGCTGTAGCTCGTTGCCACGGCGACGCAGCATTGAGTGGATTTACGGGACGTCCCGGGCTTTTTGTTTCTCGTTCCTCGAGATGAGTTCATTTAGTTGAACACCGTCCGGTCGCTGAGGAAGTTCTTTTCCACACAAAACGTCTCCAAATTTTACTTTAAAGCAAAAACTTCAAACTTGAAGTAAAATTTGAAGTTTTCAGTTTGTGCCGGTACAAATTAAAATAATCTTTATAAAGATGGACATTAAAGCCTGAACACTGAATGAAGAAAATCTTCCCAAATGATCCAAATCTGATTTTACGTTTATTCTTCTTCTCTGGGCTCAGGATTAAAGCATGAAGACCTTCAGCCACTTCGTTCTCAGCAGCTTCCGTCAGAGCTGGACCAGATCCAGGTCCAAACCTGAAGCAGATCAGCTGTTTTAATCTGGATTAAACCGGTGAATGTTCTCACGAACGTAAGATTAAACCTGAAGCTGCTTTAATCCCACAACACTCAGTCTGTCGACCAATTAAATCAGCCAGGAAGGAGAAACCAAACGCCTGTGTGGATCCTGGGAAGCCACGATGTCTCTTTAACTTCCTGTTTGGATTCAGTGTTACAGATTATTATTTATAAGAGAGATGCTAATAAACATGTTGGATCTGCAGCCGTGAGTTTTAAACGTTTAGACGTGATGGAGCTGGAGATAAAAACCGTCCACTCGGATGATCCTTCTAGTTTTCTGTCCTTTTCATAAACGTGTTCTTCGGTTCCTTCAAAGTAAAGCTGCACTTTTCTTACGAGACAACGGCCACAACTCCGCGACGTCTTCTGCTGTCCCCGAACCTGCAGCCCAGCAGAAACGTTCAGTTTGTGGAGCTTCGTGCAGCGTTCTCCTCCTCGTCCAGATTAGATTTTAACACCAACTTCTTCACCTGACGGGTTTTGATCAAACCGATTGATTTGACAGAAATCAGCCGTTTGTTTTTTCTTCATCGTCAGTTTCAGTTCGAAGAGTTTCTGTAAACTGAACAGGACGCCTCGGGTCGTTTCTGAGATTTTAACGTTCTAATTTCAGGATAAATCACAAAAAATCAACATTTTAAAGATCTCGTTTTCTTCTATCAACCAGAAAAATAAATTAAGATGTAAAATTCAACCATTTTCACCAAAATCTGTTGACTTTCTTTGATTTAAACTAAATAAAATCCAAATTAAAACTTTATCCTTGTAGTGAACTAAAACAGTAATGTTTATTTATTTAAGTTTTATTTAACCTTTATTTATACAGGTAGTAATACAGGAAATTTAATCCAGATATTTTACATTTAAATAATTTTTCTTTATAAGAAAAGTTTGTTTCTTTAAACTGATTTCAAGTTTTTAACAGAAAATAATCCAGAAAAACATTCAGCAAACAAACCGGCAAGATTTGGTTCTCAGCTTCCTCCTCCACCCCTCGTTCCTCCTCCTCCTCCTCCACCCCTGTCAGGTTCCTCCTCCGCCCCTCGTTCCTCCTCCACCTCCTCCACCCCTGTCAGGTTCCTCCTCCACCTCCTCCGCCCCTCGTTCTTCCTCCTCCTCCTCCTCTGCCCCATGTTCCTCCTCCACCTTCTCCTTCACCCCTGTCAGGTTCCTCCTCCACCTCCTCCACCCCTCGTTCCTCCTCCTCCACCCCTGTCAGGTTCCTCCTCCTCGTCTGCCCCTTGTTCCTCCTCCACCTTCTCCTTCACCCCTGTCAGGTTCCTCCTCCACTCCTCTTAGGTTCCTCCTCCTCCGCCCCTCGTTCCTCCTCCTCCTCCTCTGCCCCTGTCAGGTTCCTCCTCCTCCTCCACCCTTGTCAGGTTCCTCCTCCTCCACCTGTCAGGTTCCTCCTCATCCTCTGCCCCTTGTTCCTCCTCCACCTTCTCCTTCACCCCTGTCAGGTTCCTCCTCCACTCCTCTTAGGTTCCTCCTCCTCCACCCCTCGTTCATCCTCCACCTTCTCCTCCTTCTCCACCCCTGTCAGGTTCTTCCTCCTCCTCCACCCCACTCAGGTTTCTCCACCTCCTCCACCTGGAGGAGGAGGAGGGCCATCAGACACTCCTCATGTTATCGATTCAAAAGCACATTTTATTGTTTTCCTCCTGCTCAGCTGGATTATCAC